TTAAGCTGCTGGTCTGTAACAACAGGAGCAGTTGACTAATTTGCACAATCTTTGTCTTATCTAACTTTTGTTGTTTCTTTTTGGACCTCCAAATAGTTGTCTTCACCTATTCGCATATCATTTAATAGTTCCTGGTTTTAAAACTGCATTTCTGCACAAGTTCTATAGTGACACTGACGAACATTCCGTCGCTACCTCAAAATTGTCCTGAAACGTTTGACAGTTTCCATATCGAGTTGCGTGTCATAAGTAATTGTTTTTGACGTATTTTATTACCCAGATGTCTAAACGTACTTTTTATGTCCTTCGTACTCCAAAAGGAGAAAATGTTGCTGTTTGATCTGACGTTCATAGACGACTGACAATAACCAAGGATTAATGCTAAAGTAGTTGACATTCCAATGCTTTTGGCATTTTATAGCTTGCAATGTTGCACTGAAATGGAATGTTCACGTGTTTGTTAAATGATAGAATATATTTTAGACATCTTAATCGTGTTTGAAAATCATGGCAATTTTAGGCGTAACTATTTCTTGTAATGTCTTTACTGAGCATGTATCAGATTCAGATGAAAACCTTATTTCCTACGTAATGGAAAATTTCTCTAATCGCATAGCGGTAACTCCCAGTCAGTTCATACTTGCCGAATTTGAAAATTAGGTGAAGTGAAACATCATGATTAATAGAAACAATTTATTTATAACTTGCTATGGATCTTCGAGGGAGGATAATTTGATTGAACCGATTGAAAGATCGCCGTTAGTTTTAGTTGTCAAGATGTTCCGTAACATTTACGCCAGACCGTTTTCATGACCGTACACAAGCCTGTCCACAGTTAGACACCGTAAGTTCAAAGCTCAAGTTTGCCAAGAATCTCATCTGGAATTTTCTTCCTCATTGGAAATGCCCCAAAGTCAACAAACAGTGGAGAATACATTGTTGTATGGATTGTGTGCAAACATGAGACGGGGCTGCCATCATGTATCATGTGCCTGTAACGGTCATGGAAGATAAGTTTGAAAGGTAACGTTACACGGCCATTCCCGCTCAACTTAAACGGCCACGGTTGAACCAACTGCTTTGATCATGTCAACCAAGAGCGTGCCCGTCTTTACAGTTGCAGACAGTATGCTACGGTGGCTTTAAGTGGGGATTGGTGAGTTTCTATAACGAGTGGTACGACAGTACGGGGTGTCTATTTTGTGCGAGTTTGTCTTCCCGTCACACACAGCCTAGTTGGAAGTGGCCAGTCTGGGAAGTCTGGATTCATCGGGGATCTTGACAACGCTCTGCAAATCTAGATATGTGGACCCGTTGATCTGATAATGATGTTGGATTCAAGGACTCCGTTACTCAATCAAATCAATCAAATCAAAAATGGTTTATTGATAAAAGACATTGCAACCAGACAGGCTGAATTGCGCCTTCTGTACATATATATTGTGCAGGACACATTAAAAATATTTACAACAAAGTTTTAAAATAATACAATGCTTTAAAATAACACATTTTAAAATAATACATTAGTGGCAATTGCTTCTAATATCAGTTAGCGTTCAGGATCCGCAACATCGACGGTACAGGACTGTTCTTAAACCTTAGAGTTCGGCAGGTCGGTAGGGTCAGTTCATTAGAATTCCTAAGGGACCGTCCATGTGTTTGTCCCCTGGAAACGGGTACTAACTCAGCAGTTCTTTCAGATGTTGCAATGCTGCTTGCAAATTTGGCGCACAAGTGGTCTCGTCTGGTAGCAAGTCTCCTTAGTCCGCAGACAGTAAGTGCTGTGTTATAGTCTGTGTAAGCCCTCCCAAGAATGATACGACATGCCCGCTTCTGCACACGTTCAATGGCTGCCGTTTGCTGATTACTAATTCATAGCTGTAGTAGAGAGGGCAAGGAATGATCTTGCAGGCTCTTTTTTGTACACATTCCAGGCTTGTGATTTGTTGTACAGTCAGAGTCGAGTGCTTAATTGGGGCCACATACTCAATGACTGGTCGAACGTGACAGTTGTCAGGTCAGTTGCTGATAATCCAAAACGTTTGAGCCTGCGCAGTAGGTAGAGTTTCTTGTTGGCACCTGAGATCATATTCCTGACATGGGAGTCCCATTTTAAGTCATTCCGAACGGTCACGCCGACGACTTTGATGGATTTTTCACACTTTAGGACTTAGCCTTCAAGGATGAGAGGATTAGAAAGATCTTTTTTTAAATGTTAATACATATTTTAATTGGTACATCATCCGCTTTCTTATACCCCCATACCACTTAGAGCTCTCAAGGCGCCCTTTCGACGAGAACGCGATGGGAGCGCCATGAGCGCCGTCATCTCGGCGATGGTATGGACCCGGAACAAACTATCGCCGTGATAGCACCGAGGACGGCGATGCAACGACGAGAACCGTGAGAGCGCCGTGAGAGCACCGTAAGAGCAAAAAGAAAGTGCGGTAACCCCAGTGAGAGCGCGCAACGGCCCCAACATTAATTTAGATACAAAACATGGCGACCTCGGCGCTCTCATGGTGCTCTCTCCGCTCTCCGACCAATTTGAGGTCGCAGAGAGAGAGAGAGAGAGAGAGAGAGCGCAGAGAGAGCTTCCTAATAAAATGTGGGCCTTACACCATTGGCTTCATAATCAAAATATGATGCACCCGCTGACGTATATCTGTGAGGTAGCTGCAAAACCACTCTAGGGGGGACCCACGGATTCTGTATTCTTCTAGTTTGGCCAGAAGACCGTTGTGCCAGACATTATCAAAAGCCTTTCGCAGGTCCAGAAAGGCGCAACCAGCCACCTCTCCTTTGTCCAATGCTTTTGTCCATTCGTCCAAATGTGGGACTAATTGGAGAGTAGTGTTGTCGTGCGCTCGAAATCCACTCTGGTGTTTTGTCAGCATTGGACGGATGTGGTCTTTTATACGTTTATTTGCAAGGTTTTCCAAGACTTTAGGGATAATGTTCAGAAGTGATATTGGCCTGTAGTTGTTGAGGGCATAACGACTACCTCCGAAAAACCATATAGCCACAATACTCCTCCAGGAGGTATACCTCCTTTACGGAGTAATGAATTGTTGTGTACAGTAACTTGGTGGGTTTCATATTTGTAGCAAATGCAAGTTATGTAGAGGAAAACATCGTGTCTCCCAAAATGCATAATACGTCATTATTTCCATAGTTATGATAAAATGATGTTAGTTGGCAAAAGCCGTGAAGGTCTGAAACCAAATTACTCGCTATTGTTCACAAATTGATATCAAAGCTTAATGTTTCCTAATACAATAAACATGTTGTTAATCTAATTGTTGATTGGTCGTTTGGTTGGTTTGCTGGTGGATTGGTTGCTAAGTTTGTAATCTCCATGCAGTATCGCTTTTTTATTTTATTGCATAAATCTTCATTGGATATTCTTGTCCAGGTTGACTAAATGCATATGTGACCAACAGTAGTCTAAAGGATATACATGTAAAACATGGAGCATTGAATACTGAACCGCTATATTCTAATACTAAGTTCTAAACGTCTACATAATACATATAGAATACAACACGGGGTATTCCGTATCGCCCGAGGTATCGGCCCGACCGCGGGTCGGATCGCAGGCCGTCGGGCGATCCGACTCGCGGGAGGGCCGGGACCGAGGGCGATGCGGAATACACCGTGTTGTATTTTATTTATATCATACCCACCCAAGAAAACGCGCCTTTCAATGCAATATGAGCCAAACGTTGGTGCCCCTAAACCCTCAAATGCAACAACATCAGTTCCAACGTCCGGATTCTGTTTTCGAAATTTCGAAAGGGGCACAAGCGGGTAGGGCGAAACGCGTTCGACTCGTTTTATGGAAGCCATGGAAGCGTTCGATAACGGGTTCCGATGCTGCAGATGAAAATGTTGACCTGTGTTAACACAACCTGAAAATCTAACATATAAAATTTAACACAATCAACTCTTCATCACAAACAACATATAAGAATATACAATAAAAAGCCCGGAGGTATAAAATCTCAGATTCTACTTGTTATCTACTGTTAATCGCCGTTTCTTCTCTCTTTCTAAAATATAGCGAGGCATGAATACATAGTTTGTCTATTATACATACATCACCAAGTGTTTAAAAGTGTTCTGCTTTGACATTGGTATTGCTAACGTTAACAATTGAGTATTCCATCGAAAAAAGTCTATACGATGCGTCGGAATCAACACATTTATCTGTAAGATACAAGTCAAACTCCCGTCCCAACAGGTTAAACACGCGTACGCCATTTACTGACATGCGTAATTTAGTAACGTTTGTTCAATGAAATTACGATTTTGTCAATTGATAATATGCTATTAAATTTCCGTCGTATGCATGGGTAGTATCTCATCGTTAATATAAGACAAGAACATATTTCCTGTCTTTCCTGTACAGATCGGCACTCAAGAACACAGAATCGTCTTCGACCGGAAGAGGAACCCACCCGACGACCAGGCGAATAACGTGACACGTGACCACAACATCCGGCTGCTGGGTCCAACCGTGTTTGAAGGACGTGTCCAGGTCCAGCGGGACGGAGAGTGGGGTTCTCTCTGTCAATATTACACTTGGCGCTGGGAGGGTTCGGAAGCTAATGTAAGTAAACAATTTGTAACATTAAAAAGAAACTTTACCTTCATTGCATGAAATGACATTTCTTAATAAATAATGAACATCATCCTAAACTATTTCAAGCATCAGTTATGGTAAATCTCACTCAGGTGAATAGTGAGCCGACTTGTGACTTGTCACGTTCCCCTTCGCTTGATTGATTTAATGTTTACAGATGTAAAATCACTTGTCAAATCTACCTCTGTTTTGTCTTCCCTTTCTGGATGCCATCACTGTCCTATAATAACTTCCCGTCAATCTGTCTTTAAAGTCTCCTCGCCCTTATGTCCGCACCATCTGGGACTACCCTAAAATCGACCATACCTTACTAGCTGATTTTCGTCTGACACTAAGTGATATGCATTTTTTTTACTGTAATACTGTTGATGATGCAGCTTTAAAACTGGTTGAACTCATCTTTGAAGCTAAAATCAAATGTGTTCCTCACAAGGACATTCTTGTAAGACCTAGAGACAAACCTTGGATGTCTCCCAAGATTAGATTGTTAATGCGTAGAAGAGACAAGATACACAGGAAGGCTAAAGTGTCAAACAGAGCTGTACTGTGGTCGTTATATCGCAAGGTTAGAAATAAAGTAGTACGTGAAATATCCCTTGCTAAGTCTAATTACCATAACCGGCTCGTTGATTCACTAACGTCTTCTCCTTGTTGCAACAAGAAATAGTGGCAAATTGTTATATCTTTGTATTGTAACAAAGCGAGTTCTACCATCCCACCTTTAAAGTCTGGTCACTCTTACGTGACAGATTTTAGGGAAAAGGCAACTCTGTTTAACAAGTACTTATCGGACCAGTCTTCTGTAGATGACAGTTCGACTAGCCTCCCTCAACCTGATTACCTCACTGATCTGCGTCTTTTGGAATGTTTCACTACACCTGATGAGATTGAGCTTTATGCATCTTCTTTAGATGTATCTAAAGCATGTGGATATGATAGTATTGCTAATCGCTTCTTAAAACTTATATGTCCCTATATATCTGACAAGATTGCATATGTTTTCAATCTATCACTTTGTCATGGGGTTTTTCCTAGTGTATGGAAAAGGGCAAACGTGGTTCCAATTTACATAAAAAGAGATCCTGACAATGTATCTAATTCTCGTATTTAAACACATTTATAATCATCTAATGTCCGACAATTTACTGTATAATCTCCAGTCGGGTTTTATCTGTGGATATTCCACAGTCAATCAACTGATTTGTATTAATGACAAAATTTTTGATGCTCTTGACTCCAATAGAGAAGTCAGAGCCGTTTAATTAGACTTTTCTAAAGCTTTTGACAAAGTCTGGCACAAAGGACTTATTTTCAAGCTGCAAAGAAACGGGGTTGACCGCCCAGTTCTCAATTGGTTCCACAGTTACCTTTCCTGTAGAGAACAACGAGTTGTAATCGATGGTCAATGTTCGGATTGGAAACAGGTCGGCGCAGGCGTACCCCAGGGTTCAGTGTTGGGGCCCCGTTTGTTTCTTGTTTATATTAATGACATGGTGGACAGTCTAGCTACTTGCCCGTTTCTTTTCGCAGACGATAGTTCCCTGCTAGATATTGTGGGTAATCCTGATTCTACTGCTTCTCGACTTAATTCTGATTTGAGAAAGATATCACTTTGGTCTTCAACTTGGCTTATGGAACTTAATCCTTTAAAGACTGAAGAAATGTGTTTTTCTAAGAAATTAAACCCACATGACCACCCTTCTCTTTAACTTCATAACTGTGTTATTAAATCTGTAAAATCCCATAAGCATATTGGCACTTTTCTTACCTCCACCATGTCATGGGAAACTCAAATATCACACATGATTGCTAAGGTATCCCATCGTGTGTCCTCATTTAACAAACTGAAATTCAGATTACCACGAGCAGTACTCGACATCATTTATAAATCTTTTATTCGTCCTCTTCTCGAGTATGCTGACATTATATGGCACGGTTGCACTCTACATGATTCCCAAAGGCTTGAACGTATCCAATATCTGTATCTGTATCTGTATAGCCGGTATAACCGCCTTTCGGCGTAACACACCAATATGAATGTGCGCTTACAGTTTCAGGAGTAGTAAGAGGTTCTTCTTACTCTTCGCTACTTAACGAACTTGGCTGGGAGAGACTTTCGGATCGCCGCCATGTTCATTCACTGGTTATGTTTTATAAAATTGTACGCGGCCACACTCGCCAGTATCTTAGGGACCTGATCCCTCCTGAAATCTCTGCTTCTACTTATTATAATCTTCGCAATAAATCCAACTTGTACCACAGCTAGATACCGTAGGTCTTTTATTCCATATGCAACGCAACACTGGAATAGTCTAGATGTAGATGTTCGTTCTCTTAATCTTTCACTCTTTAAAAAAACATTTAGTTAAGTTAGTACGTCGTCCCCTTTATCCGCATTTTAGCTAGGCCCCCGATATCCCTGCGCCCTCCTTACTCGACTCCGTATTGGGACCTGCAGCTTAAATCATAGTTTATATCAACGTAATTTAGTTCTTAGTTCTGCCTGTACCTGTGGGTCTAAATGTGAAGACATTGTAAATTTCCTTTTGCACAGCCCTGTATACAATTTGCATAAAAAATGAACATCACATAACCCTATAGTTAAGATAATTTCTTTATGGTCGACTAGTCAAAAGAAAATGCATTGTAATTTTTAAGGTGGTGTGTCGACAACTGGGGTTCGCAACAGGACGAGTGGAGAACAAGTACCGGCTTGGCAAAGGGCGCGTGGCTGTGTCCGACCTACAGTGTCTCGGCAATGAGAACAACATCTATGAGTGCACCCACCACAATTTTGACTTGCCACCTCATCGGTGTCGTAAGTTTTTTTTCAAAATTCTTATGATGTAAACAGAAGCAACAAGGCAAATGCTGAATGACTGTCCAATGATGATATTGCGCATAAACACCCGTCATGTAAAGGCGAATTGATTATATCAATTCGCAATCGTCACAGTTTTGGGGTGTTTGTGATTTTGAGCATGTGAAATAACTAAAAGAGTTGTCAGGATTTTAAAGCTTTCATAAAAAAATTAAAGACATATATTAACCCATCAAGGCGGAAGGGGGGGGGGGGTTGAGGCCCGTGCCAACTTGCATCTCGGATATAGCGCCTTAACGGTTGAGCCATTTTATGGTGGTAACTGCTAGGAATAGAATACATATTTTGATGTCAGTGAAGGAATTTATACAAGCCAGGACCTCATTTTCAAAATTTAAAAATGAGAAAATCTTAGAATGGCCTTTTTTCATCAGGTAAGATTGCCATTGACAGGAGAATAAGCTCAACTGATATAACCCATGCAAAGGAGGCTCTTATGATTTGTATAATCACTTAGCAAAAAATGCCCAATTAGTTTGAACGGTTAACATGATTTAGCGAAAGTATGAGGTCATGGAACTCTTGCTGTGTATGAATCCTGAAAATTAGTCTCTAGCTGACATATAATCAACAATATCGTACCTTGTCAATGCCAAATACTACAAATTTCAATAGTGTTTTCCATGTTACTGGGTAGACGCCATGTGAATATTTTGAATAAAAGTACGATAATATGCATTACTTAGTGCCAAAAAGCAACTGGACATGATTTTGATAACGTCAGACGATTCAGATAGTATCCACTAGCTTTCGTCAGTGACTGAGAGACCAGAAGGGAAATGGAGGTTTATAAGCACAAACTATTGATTGATATGCAAATAAAGTGAAGACAAGATAATGCAAATTAGTCAGAAAGCTCCTGCTAAGCAGAACAGGAGCTTAAGTGTTGTCTGCCCTCGGGGCTGGGAGTGCCAAAAATCAAGTGCCGGAAAGATCCACCCGTAGCCCCCCTTCCCTGTTGAGAGTGGGGTTATACATATATTGCCTCTGCTTTAACACCCCGTTCCCACCAGCGTGTTTCGCGGTCTAAGATATCCGTGGACTCGAGTTTGAAAGAGTGACCCTGGTTGTGTTGTAGGTGGTGGAAAATAGCTGAGGAGTAGCCGTTGGGTCTGCAATGTTCTTTGTATCTTACTTTGAGCGGTCGACTTGTCTCTCCGATGTAGGTGTTGTTACAATTGGGCTCCTCACATTTGAGTCTGTAAATAACATTCGCCTTGGTATCTTTGTGAGGTCGGTCCTTAGGGTGTACCAGTATTTGTCTGAGGGTTGAGTGAGGTTTGAAGTTAGTGGCTATGTTGAAGTTCGCCCTAAGTAGCCATACTCTCACAGAACCAGAGAAACCACTGCTTTCTAAAGGTCTAAATTTCGCAGTTACACCCAACAAGATTCCCAACATTGACATTGTCACAAAAACCGAGTCAGCAATTCATCGGGCACGTTTACCACAGAGACAAACTGAAGCCTTGAGCACCAAAGTCTCCAAACCTCCTGCTAGTAACATCACACGGGATGACCAAACCACTCTCAAAGATTTGGCCACCAATGAAGACATATTGATTCTCCCTGCAGACAAGGGCAGATGCACAGTAGTCTTAGATACGAAGGTACGACAGGAAGGTACAGGACCTATTGGGAGACAAAGACACCTACATGCTCTTGAAAAAGGACCCCACTAACAAGTTTAAAGGGAAAATCAGTACAGCTCTCAAGAAATTGCAAATTGAAGGAGTTCTGGATCGCGCCACCTACCTAAAACTCAATCCAACAACGGAGCAACCACCTGCCTTCTACGGCCTTCCCAAAATCCACAAAGTGTCCCTCTACGACCCATACTCTCCAATATAGGCTCTGTCACCTATGAGTTAGCAGGTTTTCTAGCCAAGATTTTGGGACCACTAGTTGGGAAATCTCAGCACCATGTACAGAATAGTGCCGACTTTGTCAACAAAATCAAAGACATTCAGGTAGAGGATGATGAAACCATCACTTCGTATGACGTGTGCTCACTTTTCACCTCCATACCACCTAAGGAAGCAGTGTCAGTAGTCAGGGAAGCCGACGATACACTTGCAGATAGCACCAACCTATCCGTTGACCAAGTTTGTGAGCTACTAGAACTCTGCTTAGGATGCACAGGAGAGTTCAAAGGAGACTTCTACCAACACATGCACGGCTGTGCTATGGGATAACCAGTTTCACCAATTGTAGTAAACCTGTACATGGAGAAGTTTGAAAACAAAGCCCTCAGCACGTTCAATGACACTCCCCCGCCAACTGGTTTCGATATGTAGATAACACTTGCAGATTGAAAAAGAGGGTAGCAGCTGATTTCTTTGACCACATCAACCAGATAGATGACAACATCAAGTTCACACAGGAGCCATGTCATGACAACACACTCGGGACTAGACACCAAAACTATCGTAGAGGAAGATGGTAACCTTAGTTTCGAAGTGTACAGGAAACCAACCCACACTGATCAATACCTGGTGATCAATACAAAAACTAGCAGTGATCAAAACTCTCTTCCATCTTGCAGACAACATCATCACTTCAGCCAAAGCAGCCAAAACGGACGAACATAGACACCTCCGAGGTGCCCTGGCTAAGTGTGGCTACCGAAACTAGACTTTCAACAAAGCGCTCAAACATTCAGATTATTCTAAGAAAACCCGGAAGTGCAAACAACTGACCAATAAAAACAAGGTCAACATAACTATTCAGTATGTCCAAGAAGTATCTGAGAAACTCCGACGGATCTTCCAAAACTTTAACATAGCCACTAACTTCAAACCTCACTCAACCCTCAGACAAAGACTAGCACACCCTAAGGACCGACCTCACAAAGATACCAAGGCGAATGTTATTTACAGACTCAAATGTGAGGAGCCCAACTGTAACAACACCTACATCGGAGAGACAAGTCGACCGCTCACAGTAAGATACGAAGAACATTGCAGACCCAACGGCTACTCCTCAGCTATTTTCCACCACCACCAACACAACCAGGGTCACTCTTTCAAACTCGAGTCAACGGATATCTTATACCGCGAAACACGTCGGTGGGATCGGGGTGTTAAAGAGGCAATATATGAAAGAATGTATAACCCCACCCTCAACAGGGAAGGGGGGCTACTGGTGGATCTTTCCGGCACTTGATTTTTGGCACTCCCAGCCCCGAGGGCAGACAACACTTAAGCTCCTGTTCTGCTTAATAGGAGCTTTCTGACTAATTTGCATTATCTTGTCTTGACTTTTGTTCATTTTCGACTTCCAAAATTTTGTCTTAACTTTATTTGCATATCAATCAATAGTTTGTGCTTATAAACCTCCATTTCCCCTCTGGTCTCTCAGTCACTGACGAAAGCTAGTGGATACTAGCTGAAACGTCTGACGTTTTCAAAATCATATCCAGTTGCTTGAGTAACTGCTTTTTTGGCGTATCGTATTACCTGGATGTCAAACCTTCATCGATGCATTACTTAGTATTTGCATGAAATGCGTAGTATTTACAAAAGCATTAAACATTCCATGGAGGTTTAAACTCTAGTTTGCTTCTACTTACCTTCATTTTTCCCATTAAAAGGCCAAGGCCAAAACCGCGGAGACCTCGGTGTGGTCTGTGAGGGACTGAACCATAGAGAGAACGTCTATTGGAAGGCACTAGACATCCGTACTGCTGATGCAGCCATGAAGTCCACACTGAAAAACGTGGATCTCTTCTACGCGGGAGGAGCGAATCCAGATGCAGAAAGAGCCGCCATTATCAGCTCATCAGTTGCCCCTCTACTGCGCAACGTAAACATCAAGTACTCTGGAGACGCAGCGATTAGAATCGAGAACTCAAAGACCCCTTTTCAAATTAAGAATTGTGACATCTCAGAGAATGACGGAATCGGGCTGATAGTCAAGAACCCTTCAGCAGACGTGACCATTGTCTCCAGCAGCTTCAGTAAGAATTTTCCAGCCGGGATGCAGGTGACAGGAGGACATAACAACTCGAACCTCCAGATCACTGACGGCACGTTTGAACAGAACAGCGGTGCCGGTCTGATGCTGTCTGACGTCCCGATGAACGTGGACATACGTCAGTCTAACTTCAGTACAAACTCCCATCACGGACTCAGTGTGTTCACCACAACCCAAGTCAGCCTTGTGACTGACGGATGTCACTTTGACAACAACGGTCTGGACGGTTTCCATGCTCGATATCTCGGAGTGTCTGGTAACAGAAGTCACACAGTCTTGCACAATGGCGTGGCAGAAGGTAACGATGGAGATGGATTCAACCTAGACATAGAATACCAGGAGTACCAGAATATCACATCACCACCAATCTCCGACCAGATCACCATAGACCAATCCAACTTCACCTCTAATAAGAACGGCTCGGTCAAAATAACCGTTGACAACTCTTACGAAGATCGCTTTCCGGTCGTCCAACTGAGTGGCGGAGTCCATCGAGACAACATGGCGACAATTATCGAAGTCGGTGGGACGCGTGCGGTGGTTACAGTACAAGACGTTGAGTTTGACTCAAGCCAGTGCGGCAGTAAGCCGGTCATCCATGTACATGGGTACGACAAAACCGTAAACATAACAGGAGACAAGTTTGTCCGTAATGTTTGTCGACGGGTGGTGCTATTCAACACAACTGATGTCTCTGCTGCCGCGAATCCCCTTTTTGCGGAGAGCAGCATTTTCGAAAACAATGAGTATGAACCTGAATCATTGGCACACATTTCTGACCCCCTGAATGAGTACTGCACCATCGAGATTGTGGGATCGGGAGATGAGCACACAATCACCCAGAATTCGTTCCTAAATAGTCCAGATGGTTTAGAGCTTTGCAGCAGTGACGATTATCATCAATTGGCTGTAACTCAGATCAGAGCAGAAAAAAATTGGTGGGGAACTACAGATATTGATTCAATAAGGGAGAAGATATTTGACAACAATGATTGGAACAGTGGAGGCCTAGTTAGGTTTTCCCCGTATCTAAGCTCCCCATTCGGCAATCCTATAGACATTGTAGACACAGAAAACATGACAGCCTCATCTTTAGGCGGTCGTTTGAATGGAACATTGCGACTAACCTCCTCTGATAGCCCCGTCACCCTGACACGGGACCTCACGATCTTACCAGACTCTGTTCTCATTGTTGACGCAGGAGTTGAGGTCCGTGTCCATGAACGTGTAGGCATCCTCAATCTTGGGAAACTGCAGTTAGAAGGACTACCATCAAGTCCTATAACATTTGATGTCGTCCGTAAAACCGTGTCGAACCGAACAATTCCAGTTCGGTTAACGGGGGGCACCAATAGTGGGGAGGGGCGACTAGAAGTGCAGTACTCCGGGCAATGGCTTTCTGTGTGCCATGATTGGTACAGCGAGTTCGCCACGATCGCCTGTAAGCAGTTGGGGCTGGGTTCGTACAAGTCTGAAACTTACAGTTACGATTCATCAATCAGAAATTGGCTCACTATCCGATGTGATGGATCCGAAGACAACATTGGAGAGTGCAGCTTATATCATACAAGTAGATGCGGGGGTAACTCGTACAGGTACCTGAGGTTAATGTGTGACTCCACTGTCGGTTGGGGAGGCATAGTCTCTCTCTCAAACCAAAAGTTTGAGCAACATAATATCAATCTTTTCCATGTCGGACATTTACATGCACACAAGGCTTCTGGTCTGCTCATACACGGCTCTTCGACATCAAAATTCGACATCAACAACGTTGTCATGGACCAGCTTGTCGGGACTTCGTCGGGAATAGAGTATGTAGATCTGCAGCCTTCCCAACACGTCACCTTGCAAAATATAACGTTGGTCAATTCTGGCTCAAAAGACGGTAATGGAATCCATGTTAACAATGTACAGTCCGCGCCATGGTGGAAACTTGAAAGAAATGTACAAGCTATCCGTTTATTTTCAGTGGAACCAATGTGCAGAAGACCGACCCTTCTTTTGCTAAAGGAAGGGCAGCCACAGTGGATCGTAAATAGGGTCAGGAAGAGAGTAAGGCTTCGATGTGTGAGAAACGTAAAGGCACCAGAAGGATACCATATACGAGTCACGGTAACACAGGCTTACTTCAGCCATCCACCGTCAAGGAACAGCCTCGCCATCTATGAGTCTCTTGCATTAAACGAGACTAATGAGATAGCTACACTGCATTGGGGCAAAGAGGTTTACCAATTCAGAAACCCGCTTGTATTCACATCCGCTGGATCTACGATCACGTTATTACTGCAGGCTTCAAGCTCACAGGATGCATCGTTTCTTGCAAAGTTTGATGTTGTCAGGAAGGGTGATGATGTTTCCGGATTAGAAACCCCAGCATCGCTTGATATCATCGACTTAACGACTAGGAACTTTCGATATGGTATACAAGTATCACAAGGTGTGACAAACATACATATTGACAGAAGTACGCTGTCTTCTTGTGTTTATGGGCTGTACGTAGTAGGAGAAGCTGAAGGAAACATATCTGTGGAGTCAACGGTGGTTATTCATAGCTCTGAAGGTATCCACATCTGGTCTCTACTCGGTAGTGTCACATTGTCAAATGTATCAGTTGTTAATAACGCTTACAGTGGGATATACATGGAGAGCATTTCTGGTACAGTAAACATGAATGGTATTGTATCTCATTCCAACAATGGCGTTGGGATTGGTATTTCTTATATTCTTAACGGCACGGTTGATATGAAAAATATCATATCCCATTCCGACGATGGCCGTGGAATCTATCTACAGAGCATAGAAGAAAGAGCCTTACTTACTGATGTAGTCGCTTTAGGCTATGGGGCCTATGGTGCAGGAATAAACATTAACCACTATGGACAACACGCCAAGTACATCATGGTGAATGTCACATGTCAGGACAGCCAAGGAAAGGGTCTGAGCATAAATGTATACTCTGAAGCAAGAGTGGAGATACATAACAGTCATGTGCAAGGAAATGACCAAGGAGGGATCGTTGCACACTTCAAAAATACTCAGTCCAGCCTGTTTTCTGCACTTATCCTACACAACAGTGAGATTATCAGTAATAAAAGGTTCGCTCTGTACGTGACGGGTAAAGAGACATCACTTGACATTGCTAATAGCACAATCTCCTATAACAGCTGCCCCTATCAACCAGCTGTTGGATTTGAAGGAGAAACGAATGATGTCAATGTTACAAACAATCTCTTTGTCGGTAACAATGCGCGAGAAACATTGTCAATTCTGTTCGAAGATAACTTACAGGAGAACATTATCTTCAATATGGTTGGTAACGTGTTCCGTGACAATATTTACGACACTTCCCAAACTGACGGCAATGTTCAGTACGGCCAGCACCCAGATCTTACGTCATGTACCGTTGAGATCGGAGGCTACAAGTCCTACTATTATCTAAGGCACAACATGCTGGACAACCCAGACATGAACTACACCATGTGCAGTAGGGTCTCCACAACTTCACCTGATGAGCCGATTGACGCCAGGTATAACTGGTGGGGTACTGCGGCTGAAACAGAGATTCAAGAAAAAATTCATGACTTTGACGACTGGAACGACCGCGCGGCTGTGGAATACTTCCCCACTACCTCGACAGGACCTGACTTATCCTCTCCACCTGCTGACTCTTCCAGCCGAGATGTTACCATGGCAACTGACAACATCGGGGGGAGGCTGTATCATTCACTCCATCTTCAAAAGGATGGAGGTCCTTACACCTTTAAAGCAGATTTAACTGTGTTAAAAAACGCATCGCTTACCATAGACCCGGGGTCTACTATCAAGATACACCCATGTCTTGGTCTGTTGAATCTAGGTTCCCTTGTTGCCCATGGAACACGCACAGAGCCTATCAATTTTGAGCTTACGGATGTACCCGTTCACCAACCCCAGGTCCGGCTGGTGGGAGGGTGGTTCCCTTGGGAAGGTCGTGTGGAGGTGTTCTATAATGGAGAATGGGGGACGTGTATGTGGGGAGGTACCCCTCGGGACTCACAAGATGCAAATGTTGTCTGTCGTGAGCTAGGATACGGCCCATCTACAGTGTATAGCACGTACTCTTTTGGACAAGGATCGGGACCTGTATGGATCGGTCGTTACAACAGTCGGCCAGACTGCACGGGGAATGAGATGAGTATATTCAACTGTCTTCGTGGCCCACCCGGTAATGTGTACTCGGGTTGCACGCACCGTTACGATGTTGGAATAAGATGCAAGATGAACACTCATGTATCACCTAGGCCAACATGTCGAATGAAAAAATGGGGAGGGATCACATCTAAATATGCAACCACGGAGGTCCTTACAAACTTGAAGTTCACCAACACAGGCAATCTGCACGGGCGTTCACACGCAGCCATATCCATTGAGGACAAGCAGGGCACTACAAACATTTCTCACATTGAAATCTCTGAGTGCGTGGGTACTGGAATACAACTACTAGCTATAGGAGGCAAAACGACACAAAGTGTTAAAAATGTGAATATCTCAGGTTGTAATGGATATGCAGGTGTTTCTCTCACTGGCAGAAAGTCTAGAGTTTTGTTGTCAACAAATATACGTATCACCGACAGTATCTTTACAGCAGGGTCATTTGAACTCACACCGCACACTCGGAGTATTACAAACTGTTTGGCTAATCCTGAATCGATCATGAGGCTCTGTGCCGAGGAGCCTGATCAGCAGCTTAACAATGACATGTGTTTTGTTCAGACAGGACGGACGGGCTCAACATGTTATAAACATCTGTACGGAGGTGTGGGTTTCACGGTTGAACTCACGGTCTCATTCGTTCAGTTTCATTCCTACTCTTCGAGATTACGGGTCTTTGCCGACAGAAGCCTAAGTCAACAGATTGGACAGGTTACTCGATCGGATAACGGCAAAACGTACATCCGGTTTGTCTCACAGACAATGATGAGTCTTCAGTACATAAGTTACTACTGGGATAGCAACGAGATATTCGGAGAGGTCAGTTTCTATAATGAGACAGATGTTGCAGGTCCATCTAAGTACATCATCGAGAACAGCATGGTGGATAACACCAAAGGCACAGTTATCAACGTCACTGCGGCAAATGGCGCAATCTTTGATATCCAACGTAACGTGTTCTTGCATAATCAACCCCATACTGATGACAACGACCAAGCTGTGATCAGAAGTGTTCTAGTCGACTCCAATATTAGCGTCAGGAACAACTACATGGCTAACAACTTGATAACAAGCCTATCTATCGACTTGACAAACCAGAAACGTGGAAACATAACGGTTCTGGACAACCTTTTCTTCAGAAACACCGCCAAGACTACCATAATTGTGACAGGAGCCAGCTCAAGTTCGACACAACAACCCGTATTGATAGACAACAACGTCTTCTCAAGCAATGATGTCGGTTCCAATGAAAATGTGATAAAGTTCGAGAATGTCGATGGACAACTGAGCAACAACATTTTCTCTAACAACTTGGGGCAACACGTTGTAACCGTGGGAAGGACGAAGTAGAACAAATAGTCTGCAGAGATGTGAGAACAATCTGTTCTACGACAACATCGCACTGACTCCAGGGAAGAAGTACACATTGGTTGTCTCGGGCCGAGATGTCCAACTGCACGGGAACGTCCTCACCAACCCGGCGAACGACGCTGAGCTGGCAACGTCGGACAGAACCAGGTATTATCCCGTAAATGCTACCCTTAACTGGTGGGGATTCAACTCTACATCTGACATATCCTCAAGAATCAGAGACAAAAGCGATAGAGGGTTCTGGGCAGAGGCACACTTTTCAACCATGGATACAGGAGGAACCAACTGACGGTAGGCTTACTCAGGAACATTTGCCTCTTTTACTTTAAGTTGTAAAACGTTTGGTGAAATAGCGTTTATATTAATTGACATCTAATCCCTATTTTGCACAACCATCATTTTTGTTGATTAGCTATAGGAAACCATTTGTATAAAAAAGATTCAATCTATAATTTGATTACCACTTACTCACTATTACGAGGAAAATGCATATCAGAAATAAGATTTGATGTCAGTGTGTGTCTCAGCAAGATGCATCTAAAAATTAAAGTAAACTTACTAGCCTATGGCTACTTAAAGGTTTCAGATATTCTGATGTTGCTTCAATGTTACTTGACATAGGTCCCTGCGGTTTG